CTCCTCTCCATCCACTGCAGACACCAACGCCTGCAGACATCTGACATCAGGTAATGGAAAACTGCGGAAATGGCATTACGAAGAGGGCCATAAGGTCTGTCACTGGCCTCGTTCACTGGTCCCACAGATGGCACCTGCACAGATACGCTCAGTGCTCAGGCGCAAAGCTACTCAAATCTATGATGATGACGGCAGGAAGAAGAGGCCTCAGCTTCTCCTGTCACTGGAGCCTCGTTTGGTAGTCCCGCAGATGGCACCTGCATAAATCACGCAATGATGGAAGCACGTCTGAACATCAGCTTCAGGTGTGCCTGTCGGCAACATCGCAGACGCCACTGATGGCACCTGCATAAATCAGAAAGTTCTTGAAATCAAAGCAGCTTCCCAAGGTCTCAATACATCATTATTGGTTACTCAGTGCTGAGGCGCAAAGCTACTCACATCTGTGATGATAGCTTCCGAAGGTTTCAATACATTGCTATTGGTTACTCAGTGCTGAGGCACAAAGCTACTCACATCTATGATGATGGCAGGAAGAAGAGGCCTCAGCTTCTTCTGTCACCGGAGCCTCGTTTGGTAGTCCCGATGGCACCTGCACAACAAATCACACAATGATGAAAGCACGTCTGAAAATTGTAAGGGCCTAAAGCTAGGGTAGTAGGGACTTTTGGGGCCTCTCCGAGCGGTCCGAGGTCTCCAAGTGGCTTTTGCGGCGCCTGCAAAGAAGGCCAATGAAAGAATCAGCCCGACAAACCCATAAGCAGACCTGTCCAGCTTCCGTCTCCGGCATGACTAGGCCGATGTGCCTCATGAAATCCACCACATCCTGCAAAGGCGAATGCTTGGTTGGGGCTTGGGGGATCTTGCTTTGGTTTGGGAGGCGAAACCCTAACCCCTAAACCCTAGGTAACTGGGAGCCCTAGGGCCTAGGGTATTCCATAGAAACAAACTTGTTAGACTCTCATGTAGCCAGCAGCGGCCTCTATGGGATCACCATCATCGCAAGCAAAGGTCCATTCGGGGTTGTCTCCTTGTTGTTCCTCTTCGGTGATGCCGAGGTATTCGCAGACTTGCCGACAGTAGGCTGCAAACTTTCCATGGGTATTGATCTTCGATACCAGCAGCTGGAACTGCCCCTCTTCCATGTCCGCCAGTTCCAGCCGTAGGTCATCCTCGCTGCGACTGGTGAAGAAGGACAGCAAGGCCTGCCAATTTCATGATTCTAGACAATAATATTGCTTATATAAAATACTATACCCCAAAAGGAGATATAATCTTACTCTATATTGGGTACAATAGCCATAGTATCCCCAAATATTATACTACTCTCATGATGTTACGCCAACCCTATAACCCTGCCACCCTAAACTCGCTTGCTTAGACATTAAGCCCTATAAACCCTTAGCCCTAAACCTTAGAACCCTTCTCGCAGTTTGCATCTGGAGCATCCAAAGCCGCGACTGCCTCCTTCTTCTTCTTCTCATTCTTCTTCTCATTCTCACCCTCTTCATCGCTCGATCCACCGGGCAGAGTGCTTCTGAAGCTTTGTCCGCCGGGAGAGGCGGGAGCTTCGGCCCCGGCCCCATCATCAGAATCTTCACGCTTCACCAGCTGATTGCGAGCATCCGACAGCTCAGCAAAACGATGCTTTGCAAGCCCCAGCATCGTGTACGTGCTTTGCCTTTCTTCCCCAATAACCATGGCTAAAAACGTTTAAAATCTATTATAGAGACCCAAGAAGGAAGCCCAAAAAGGTTAAAGTTCTTCTATTGGTGAGTTGATGTTTTTTTTGGTGGTTGACCCTAGTAAGATTATATTCCCTATACAAAATACTATACCCCAAAAGGAGGATATAATCTTACTCTATAATGGGTACCAGGTACCAATATCCCCAAATAAAATACTACTCAAGTAAGTTGCAGCTTGTCGGCGGCGCCGGATCCAGGTGCTGTAGGATCAGGCCTCGGCCACCAGCAGCAAGACTTCAAAGCAATTTGCAAAAGACCTGAAAGCATTGCGGCAAAAACTCATGCAACCAAGCAGCGCCAACGCTTGAACGACTTGGTCGAGAGTGTGGCAAGAATGCACGTACGGAACTGTCACTCTGACTGTGACGTTCGTGTCGTTGTGTGTTTTGCTAACCATGACGGAACCGGCTTGCAGCAGCAAAATGTCTCCTGCGCCAAACCCCAACAATTAAACAGCAACATTGCAACTTCACGCAAGGTCACGTCACGTGTCCTGGGACCAGGGCTCCCAGCAGCGGGTTGACACCCTGCTTCTCCGCCTCCTCACGGCTCAACTCCGTAAAGGCCTTGATCGCGGCCTCCGGAAAATGCACAGGTAAACGCAACACACCATGAACACTCTTGACCATGCTCAAGAATGCTGATTGCAAGCTGCCAGCCTGAGCAGGTCCTTCACTGAGCTTGCACACCTCCATCAAGTCGCCAATCACGATTCGCTTGGCCCCCAGCGCCTTCAAACATGCACTAAACTCTAAACTGATTGCGCGGCAGAAACATGCACAGAACTGAAGGCAGTACATGATAATAATATTACAGCCTGGTAGTAGGCGTAGGAGAGCCCACCCGGGGGCATGCCAGCGAAGCAATTGTTCTTGATTTCACCGGAGATCGTTGTAGCCATGATCTCTTTCAAGACCACGCCAGACAAGGTGCTTCCATTGCCCGCTTCAAATTTGCACGTCTCAACCT